AAATAAATGCTCTAACTATTTATAGTGCTTATTAAATTGCACTAGATAATGCTAGACCAAATATTCCAACTCATTCTTCTTCTAGTTCTCAATCATCTAAAAGAACTGCAGGAGTAAGAGCACTTAGTTCTTGGAACGAGTTCAAGGGTTCTCAAGGTTGTTCCACTAGTGATTGTTCACAACTAAATGAGCTTGAAGTTTATTTGTCACAGGGACTTGAGCAGGAGAATCCCAACGACTCATTTAATCTTTTGGAATGGTGGAAGGCAAAGAAAAATACTTTCCAGTCCTTTCAAGGATGGCTCGAGATATTTTAACCATTCAAGCTTCAACAGTGGCATCGGAGAGCGCCTTCAGTCAAGCAAGACTACAACTCGGTGATTATAGAGCGCCTATGAGGGAGAGCTTGGAAAAATCAGTACTTTTCAGCGTTCGGAACAAAGAAATTTTGGACTTGCTGAATCACAACCAGAGGTAGACGAAGCTTACGAAGAAATGCTAGCTGAACTTGCGAAGGAAGCAGCTTCGCCCGGAAGCGATGATGAACAAAGCTTCTTTTCCACCACCACCAACGGAAATGCCTCCGAACCTTGATGGATTTATGAAATTTGTAAGAGATACCATGTAAAATTAATATGTAACTTGTATTTTGGCACATCTTGATTAGTTTCTTTTTCTTCTCAATGGTGGTATTAGCACCTTAGTTGTGCATATTCCATTGGGAGGCGACCCAAAAGCCAAGAAAGATTGGGCCATGTTTTCTTAATGTTATAATAATAAAAATTATAACGCATTTCTTTGAATATCTTTTTACAATATTTTGTGTTTTAAATTTGAATTGCAAATTTTTAAGTCACAATTATATACAATTAGTTACAAGAAAATGCCTTAGATATAAAATTTAACCAAATAAATAGCCCCACATATTATATATATATATATATATATAAGCTATATAATTTACAAGAAATTGCCTTAGATAAAAAATAGTCAAGGCCCATTTCATCTTTATTTTAATTTTTAACAGTACAACACAAACACAAACATAGAAACTTAACATAACTTAAATTCAGTACAACTAATGAAAACACATGACACGAAAAACATAAAGATGCACTACTACGCTTAACACGTACATGTCATTGTTTAGTCACGACCGCCTAGTATTCTCTGCTCCAACCACTTCAATTGATCTTCCAGCTTATTTTATTCTTCTTCCACCTCCTTGAGTTTCTCCTTCAACTCCGCAACTTCTCGTTTGGATTGTCGCTCTCTTTCCCACCGCTTCAAACACAAACAATGAAGATGCTGCAACTTTTCTTTGTAGTATTCCTGCTGACAGGGTTCATCAAT